TCTGTCCACTTGTTCGGCTTTCGGTAGCAATATTTTCACCAGAATAGGGGTTTGTTTTGGGGCGCCTACCTTTCTGGGTGCCTGTCCCGGTCGATGGCAGACATAGAATGCTCCCAATCACAAGGGGGTTTCTATAGGCCATTGCTCCTCGTGCCTCTCTGAGGGGGCCAGGTTCTGGCTCGTGGTCCCCGGTAGGCAAGAACTCCTAGCACTTTGACTGGTGCCAGAAAGTTATACATACCCATTCAGCCTGGATAGCTCCAGGGAGCCTCCGGGACTCACCCAGAAAATGGCGTTTCATTACATTCAACGCTGGTTTTTTGCCCTCTCATGTTTGAGGCTTCAGCCATTGCGCAGTTTATTCAGGCTGCTTTGGCTTCTTGCCTTCCTATGTCGGACTTGCTGGTTCTCCGGGGGTCCCATTGTGGGCCTTCCAGGAAGGGTCGTGCCAAGGCTTGGGGTTCCTCTCGTCGTGGTAGGCCAGTGGTGTTAGATTCTGGTTTGGCTCCTTCGTCTGGTCGGCGCGGTGTTCTCTCTGTATGAGGTTCTGGGTCTCGTAAGGGGCGCCGGCCCTTTTGCGGTTCGCCCCATTGACGGGGCGATGGAGGGTAGGCTTGCGCTGTTCGCTCACGCCTGGTCCCGCGATTTGTGGATGTTTCGGGTCGTTTCACACGTCCTCCGGTGGCGTTGGGTGGCCCCTCCGCCTGCGGGGGATTCGGGGCTGGCGGGGCAGGCTTCTTCCCCTGTCAGGTCATCTTGGAGTGGGTTCGCTTGGGGGTGGTGGAAACGACGACGTCCCTCAGATGGGTTTCCCGTCTGTTTCCAGTCCTGAAACTGGACTGTGCAGACCTGCGGTTCATTCTGGACTTGTTCCATCTGAACCCCTGGGTTCATTGCCCTTCTTTTCGGATGACCACACTGTCCCAGGTTCAGCTCCTGTTGGAGTCGGGCGCATGGATGATGTCCCTGGACCTCCGGAACGCTTGTTGGCACGTCCCAAACCCATCTGGGGTTCAGGTACTGGTTAGGTTTTGTGGTGGGGCATCACGCTTACCATTTTCGATGCCTACCAGATTTGGGTTGAATCTGGCACCTCGCGTTTTCACGCGTCTGACCCGAGTTGTGGTGACCCGTCTGCGTCTTCTAGGGATTCAGGTCTTGGCCTACCTCGATGACTGGCTGGTGTGGGCTCCCAGTCGGTCAGCTCGTCTGCTCGTTAGGGATATGGTTCTTTCCCAGCTCGCCAGGTTCGGGTTCCTAGTGAACTGGAGGAAGTCCCATCTGGTTCCGTCCCAGGTTCGGACCTGGCTGGGTCTTGTTTGGGATTCTCGGACCTCTTCCTTGTCTCTCCCTCCAGAGGCGTTGTGGCAGCTGCGGGACCGCTCTCGGCTGTTTCTGAGGGGGTCCCGGGTCACCCGGCGGTTGCTCAAGCAGTTGTGCGGGAGTCTGAACGGTCTCCCAGATGTGGACCACTTCGCATCGGCATGCTCTCGGCGTCTCCCAATCTATGTGACGCCCTTCCCTGACTGAGAGGCGTTTGCGGTGGATGCCTTCCTGGCTGCACACTACCTCGTAAATGTTCCTGGGTCTAGTCGTGCCCGTGTCGCTTTTGGTCGGTGGCTGCAGCCTCTCTCTCCAAAATCGCCATGCTAGTCAACCCACCTGGTTGAGTTTGGCTTCGGCGTCTGTTTTGGTTCCTTCGGGGACGTCCCTTCCGCCTCTCTCGTGATCGATGGGTTCGTCCTCCGGGGGCCTTGTGTCAGTTGCTGCGTCACCGGCTTCCTCTTCGGGGTTCGGTGCCTTGGCGCCTACCCAAGCCCTCGCTCGATGTGTTCATGGACGCGTCGTCTCTCGGCTGGGGCTTTGTGACCAGTGCTCACCAGGCAGGCCAGGGACGATGGGGTCCATCCTTCCGTCGGGCTCACAGCACGGCTCGGGAGTTCGCGGCAGTCTGGTTCGCGCTTTGGAGGGTTCGGGTCGCTCGGGGATTCGCCTCCATTCAGACTGTTCTCCAGTGGTTCATTGCCTGAACCGCGGGGGTTCTCTCCGGTCCTTGGCTCTTTGGGGTTGGTCCCTTCGAGTGGTTCGTTTGCTGGATTCTTGGGGTTTGGCTCTCCATGCGGTTCATGCCCGGGGAGTGTCCAACGTTCTGGCGGACAGTCTGTCTCACTTCTATCCCCTGACCACGGAGTGGACGGTCGACAATGACTCGTTTTGTTGGATCTGCCAGACGTACGGTCTCCCAGATGTGGACCACTTCGCATCGGCGTGCTCTCGGCGTCTCCCAATCTATGTGACGCCCTTTCCTGACTGAGAGGCGTTTGCGGTGGATGCCTTCCTGGCTGCACACTACCTCGTAAATGTTCGTGGGTCTAGTCGTGCCTGTGTCGCTTTTGGTCAGTGGCTGCAGCCTGTCTCGACTTCGAGTTGAGGTGTTGAGCACCGACTGTCTCCTGGGTAAGTCCCCTTCTTTCTTTTTAGTCTTTAGTGAAGTCGCTCCGGGAACCCATAGGGGGATCCCCCCAGAAAACCAGCGTTGAATGTAATGAAACGCCAATTTCTGGGAGAGTCCCAGAAGCTTCCTGGCAACCCTCCCTCTCTCCTGTCGGCGGTTTTTCATATATTTTGATATCCAGCATCAGAACTGCAGGGTGGATCGCCGGCACAGGGGTCTGGGACTCCCCCTTTCCCCCTCCCGGGGAGGGAGGAGCTGCGCAGACATGCGGTGTGGCTCGTGTGACGTCATGCTAGTTTGCTCGTTTTTTTCTTTTGGGGAGTTCTGTCCACTCGTTTATTTATTTTCATCGTTTTTAACCAGAATAGGGGTTTGTTTTGGGGCGCTTGCCTTTCTGGGTACCTATCCTGGTCGATGGCAGATATAGAATGCTCCAAAATCACATGTGCATTCTATAGGCCATTGCTCCTCATGCCTCTGAGGGGTCCACCCACATCGACTGATGCTAAAGTTTGGAATATCCATATCAGCCTGGATAGCTCCGGGGAGCCTCCAGGACTCATCCAGAAAATGGCATTTCACTACATTCAACACTGGTTTTTTTAGGATTTCACTAATTTCTTTGTCATCTGTGTATGAACCTTCACTCATACGAGTAGGCCCAATACTGGCAGTGGTTTTTCCTTTTGATTTTGCATATGTGAAATGCATCATACATCAAATGCATGTGAAATGAAGTATGTGCATACTCAGGTAAATGCATCCCCCCATCTTTACCAGTCAAACTGGAAAACATCCACCACAAGCACTCTGCAATCGAAAAATGGATCCATGTATGACAGAAGATGCCAGTTTTACACTGACGCAAAGAGGTCCACCTCAAGGCAACCGAACGTCATGCAAACTCATTGGTGGATCCCTCAACAATGATGGACACATTGTCGAGGGGTCCACTCTGTGAAAATGGGAAGGAACTAAGATGAACGTTCTGTGAGAATGTTGGAAGTGTCCTGCACGTAGACTGCATAGAAAGCTAAGCCCTAAGAATCTTGACGACATGCTTTCCACAGCCTTCAACACCACAGGGAGGGGTAGGACCGAAGATACCCCTCACAGTTCAGGCAATTAACTGTTGGAGTAGAGCCGTAGCCTGGAGGGAGCTGGATTCTACACTGCTGCAAACTCACTGTCCATGATGTACGCCTGAAGAAACGGACTCAACCACCTACCCTGCGAGGGCCTGGCAGGGTAGGTGTGGAGTGCTAGGCCTCCCTAACACTCTAACCCAGGAGTTTTGGTGATGACCAATACATGACCGTGTTTTTGATGAACACGGTCATGAAACGAATACTATAATGGAACAATATACCAGTACAAGCAAATAGCTCTCACAGGCCAATTCTTAGGATAACCAGCACTTAGCTTAGAAATGCTGGGACCCGCCGTGAGAAATGGCAACCGTGGAAAGCTACTATGATGCACTAGGCACCACATCAGTGACAGAACTGAGTGGCAAGCTGGCGGAATGAGCTCTGGGCCACCTGGTGACAATAATCAATACTAATGGGTTTGAGCTGGTTTCAAGTAAATTATTTGTTTTTTAATTGAATTGTTTAGGTAGTTGTTGGGCAGTTTTGAGGCTTGGAGTTTTGTGAACCCAGGAGTTGTCTGTACAGCTTCACTGATATTCTGAATACTTTCCCGGTGAAATGGCGGAATGTCGCTTGCTATCTGCGCCTCTGTGAGCGGGACCAGGTTTTGGCTTTGGTCCCCAGTAGGCCCAACAGAACTCCATGATTGATGTGACTTGTAATATGGAGCAGTCTCAATGATAACTACAGGGAGCAACCAAGGGACTTCCCCAGAAAACCAAAGATGAATGTAGTGAGTATACAAATTATGGAGGCATAAGCCTACTAAGTGTAGGGACAAAATGTATGGCAAAATAATTATTGAAAGGGTACAGGAAATAACTTTAGAAATTGATCAGTGATGAGTAGGCTCATGCCACAACCCACATAGTGGGTTGTGTGGACCAAGTACTGTACCGTTATTTCTGTTCAGACAGCAAGTGGAGAAGGCATGTAAGAAAATTGGAAGGTGTACATATAAATAGGAAAGTATGACTAAAGTTGTGAGTAGAGGGAGTCAGGGAAGGAAAGTGCCCTGTGTGGCATGCATATGAAAAATTAAAAATAAAAAAAATTGAATAATGATAGAAAAGTTGGGCATAGAAAGGTTTCAGAGTTTTTGTAATGCACCTTTCTGTCTAGATTCTGGGCTGCATTGAGAGTTCTCCAGTGTCTCCTTGGCATCAGTATGACTCGACAGAGATATTTTGAAAAGTTTCCCACTGTGACGGTGCAAGAATGTTGTCCTACCCTGACTGGTAGATTCTAACCCAGAGGTCAGTAGAATCTTGCCCTAGGGAGCAATCAAGTTTACTACTAAGAAAAATACTTTTCATATTTTCTAGGTTGGTTTTTATTTTTTACTAAAATGTACAGTATACTGTGTATAAAATTAACTTTGCATTTTTCTTCAGATTCGAGGAAGCATCAACAATGAAGGAGAAGTGTTTTATTTCCTGAATGAGAATGATGAAACCATTGGATTAGCAAAAGTGAAGTCAACCTGGTACATTCTCCTCAGGGCGTTGCGTGAAAAAGCCGTGTATTGTTTCACAGCGGCCATGAAAAAAGGTGGCTGGACCTTGGAGCAACATATAAATTCAACCAATAAACGCTTTCTGGAAATTCAGAGATGGTTAAAGCTTTCAGATGAATGTCTACAAAAATGGAAAGTAAGATTCAATATATCTTTTTCTTGTAAACATTGGTGTGTGAGTTCAATTTATTTGTTTAATTAACCCCAGAGTGGCAAAGCTATTAATAGCCAACAAAACTGCTGTGTGAAAGAAATTTAGTTTTTTCTTCTAAGAATGTTAACATGTGTTCCCTGATCATGGGAAAACAAAAAATAATTTTACTTACCTTTGACGTGAATTGGCCGAGAACTCTCGCCATGGCATCATCAAACTTGCTGCACGTTGTGCGCAGCATTCAATCAGCCGGAGTGGCCACAAGTTTATTCTCTTGGCATTATTTACAATGTCTATGACGTATTTTATAACAATTTTTTTCACTGGTATTGGTCAATATATTCTCACTTGATATCACTTGATTATAATAAAAATCAATATGCACTCACATATTCGTGTCACAATTATCCATACCCAAATATTTTCTTTCAGAGCAAATATAATATAAATTCTGATTTTTCATCAAAATATTCACACTTTCCAGCAGGTGGTAAATGTTCTATTTTGTGTACATGTAAGGCTTCCCTGAAAGCTTGCCTGTCTGTAGCACTGTGAGGCAATGTTGGGGTTCTGAATACATCTTTGTATGACAGTAATATCTTTGCCGAACTTTGTTAGTACAGTAATTGTGTCAGAACGGCAAAACTTAACACACAGAAAATTGGTTTACAACCTGTTTTCACCAGGTACATATTGTGATTGTTCAGCATGGTTACGTCAACAAGATGAAAACACATCTTGGTCCATTTCACTGTTTTACGTACACACTTGACAGCGGCCACCATCATGTCTCATTTATCAACCAAATGCATGTTTATGTTATAGTCCATGACACAATCTGGTTAATATATTTGTTCTTTGGTTACTTTGTTCACCCTGCCACTCTTCACCATTGTACCAGTGTGAATGGTTGTCATCATGTTCACTTCTCGCCTGTCTTTCCACCACACTGAAAGTATTTGATCACTTTTTCTTATCTGGCAGTCACCTACTGCAATGCCAGTCAAGCACTGGCATTTCCCTTCTTCTTGCCTTTACTGTGCTCCACATACTACAGTTTTATTGAAGCAAGAACCTAGTTAGCAAGGGACTTGTGTAATAGTTGTGTATATAAAATGTGGCCCCTTGTTCATCCATGGGTCCCACAGTGTCTTCACCACACTACCTAAGAAACCATGTTGATCATTACTGGGAATGTCTACATTGGTACCAGAATTTAATATCATGTGTAAGACCATTCCTGTTAAACAGTCACAGAGTTCAAAGGATTTTAATCCAAATCTGTGGAGTTTGGAGTACAGTACAGTACGAACAATAAATATGGGTACTCACCAAGTGTCCAGATGTTTCTCCACATTTGATCTTGGACTGATGGATAGGTGATTATGGTGTTAATTGAGGGTGGAGGTAATGTTGAGGGTTACACAGAGAAGGAACACAAGAGGCTTCAGTTCATGCTCTCTTGGAAGCTCTCTCAAAAGTTTCTTTGAGTGTTAATTGCCTCAAGCCTTTGCATTTTTTAAAATTGTGTAAAATCTATAAAATGCCATCAGACTCTGAGGATTGACATCAGATATCCTCTCCATGAACTTTAAAATGGTTTCAAAGCTCTTCTCTACCTCTGCAATGCTTGCTCGAGTTGCTCTGTCTTCCTCCTCCTCCTCTGATGAATCTTTTGAGTCCTGCAAATTCACCTGGCTATTTTCTGTCATCAAATTAATGATATCATCATCAGATATGCTTGGTGCAGTAGGAACATCTCGATCACACTCAATCCATACATCCAATTCTTCCTCAAGATTGGCTGTGATCAATTCATTTCTTGGATGTTGGGACTGTTCATTTATTCCTTTAACATAGGCAAGGAGTTCTTGTCTTAATTTCTTCATCTCGCTGATTTTCTTTCCACCAAATCCTTCAAAATCGGCAGCATTGTCGTCGTCGTCAGGAAACAAACCAGCTGCAAGCCAAGGTTTGTTCCAGGCATGCTTCAAGGTTGATTGCTTGACCATTTCCCATGCATGTGCAGTACACCACACAGCTGACTTTATAGTAAATGTTTTCATAAAGTCCTTGATGATACCCTTCTTTGCATGGAGTTGCCTTGCGAACTCAGTTCTGAAGTGGAGTTTGAGGTTCGCAATTATTCCTTGGTCCATGGGTTGGATCAAGGAAGTTGTGTTGGGTGGCAAAAATGTACCAAACATATTGCCCTTAACTAGCTCATCTTCATGTGGATGTGTTGAGCTATTATCAAGAAAGAGCACTACTTTGCTGTTCTCTGGTAAACCAATGCTCTTAAAATGGTTTTTCACTTCGGGTACAAAATGACTTGAAAACCATTCATGAAAAATGGCTCTAGACATCCATGCGCTGGGCTGAGCCTTAAATCACAAGGATAGTATTCTTGACACCCTTAAATGCCCTTGGATTTTCACTTTTGCCTATAACAAGTAATTTTAATTTGTGTGCGCCAGCTGCATTTGCACAAACAAGTAGAGAAAGCCGTTCTTTATTTGCCTTGAACCCAGCTGAACAATCACTTTTATCCTGATGAGCGTATGTATAACCGTCCAACATACGCCAGTACAAGCTGGTTTCGTCTGCGTTATAAATTTGCTCAGGAGATAAAGAATCGTCCTGCACGATCTCAAATTTTGACATGCATTCCTCTGCACCTTTTACATCAGCAGATTGCTTTTCACCTCGTAATTTCACACGCCTAATACCACGACGAACCTTAAAGCCCCTTAGCCATCCATCACTGTATGCACAGTTATCACGAAGCTTCATTTCTTGGTGAAAATGCTTGGCTTTTCCTTAATAAGCCATCCTGACACTGGCTTCTTTGATTCATCACGTGTCTGCCTGTACAATTCCACACAGCTTCATCAACACTTAATATGTGCCTTCCTAACAATTTTTCTATTTTGCATTGCTACATCACTCTCACTATTAGCATAACTTGCAAAAATCCTATCTTTTGCCTTCAATATATCACTTAGTGGTTTTACTAACTTTATACTTGGTGCACACAACACTTCTAGGAATTCCAGTTTCAACTTCCTTTAAGCTGAACTTTTTGTTCAAAAGTCATCACAACATGTTTTCTCTTGGCTCTACCGCTTGTTGAAGCCCAGAACAACAGATTTCCTGTGTTGTTGTTGTTGTTTAAGATTCGCTACTTGGAACAAAAAGTTTCAATTAGCACGGGCTCTGGTGAGCCCGTAGTTAGATTTTCTGCATTTCCTGATGCCATAGTATCAGGATGCGAAAAATATGCACAGATAAGAGGGGAAAAGTCTTTGTACGCCGTGGGCAGCCACTAAAACAATACTGGGTCGGCCTGGGCGAGCAGCTGATGCTTCAAAGCTCCACCAGGTAACACCACTGTGCCTAGCTCAAGACTAGTAGTGAAACTACTATCAGATTCCACACCACTTAAGCCAGAAAATTAGTCATCTTCCACATATTGGTGGCCCAAAGCAACATCATGCTGCACATGCCCACATGAACTGTCTGGTGGTGGTGGTGGTGGTATTGGTGTGGAGTGAGGGCAAGGCAGCAGTGGTGATGGTGCAGCCTCACCCTAGAGGCAGGCACGGTGTCACTATCACTGTCTGTATCACACTCATCTGGATAACACTTAGCAGACCCAGTTTAGGGGCCCTGGAAAACCCTATGGGGGCTCTTGGGTCCGATGGAGGAGACCCTTGTGTCCCCTCTCACTTTGTATGAGTTTGAGAGTTGCTCTGTCTCCTTGTCTCGGGGCGACACTCATTGATTTGGCCTCCGTCATGCTGCCTGTTGGGTCGGTGACACATTCGACCCTGAGTCCTGCGAGCTATGTTGCTTGTTCGTGACTCAATTCACTCAGACTGATGATGAATTGCTTCGGCTGTAGCCAGCACGCGCGTTGCGGGGTAGGTTTACGTTATTGCAACGCGCTCGGGTTGACGCTTCCCCGGACGCCCAGAGGCTGCCCCCCCTTTGCTTATAGGGACTTGGACTTGGGGGTGTTGGTCGCTTCGGCCTTGGTTCCGTCTGTGCCCCCTCGTTCTTCCCCTTCGGTGGTTCATTCGGTCTCTTCCCCCCCCCCCCTGCTTCAGGCCCCTAAACATCTGAGGGCTTCGGGGTCGGGTCAGAGTTTAGAGGTTTCTGAGACTCGGCAGTTTCGGGGGTTGCCCCATCCGGGGTGGCTGCGGAGGCATTCAAGTCTGTTCCTCCTGCTGATGCTCCAGGGTCTGACCAGTGGGCCCCTTCCCTTCCAGCTCTTTCGGTTGCCCCGGCTTTTTCTTGTGAAGGCGTTGCTTTGAAGGACAACTCGACCCCCGGGGCCTGGTGTGGAGGTTCCTGGGGTGGGGGAGGACCTGACTTGGGAGCCTTGGGCTCCATTGGACCCCCGCCTGGATTTTCCGTCTTTCTGAGCGACGCTTACTGTTGCGAGGAGTGGAGTTTTCCTTTCCGCCCTCTACGTACGATTTGGACATGGGTTCTGCTCCTCCCTGGGTTCTGTTTCATGTCCCTATGGATTCTTCGGTTCCGTCTTTCCGGAGGTTTTCGGCTTCCAGTATCTCTCCGCCTTAGGTGCAGTCGGCCATTGCGGCTTACCTCCTGCGTGACCTGGAGTACGCCTCCATAATGGATCCTTCTTCGTTCAGGTTTGGATTGTCGTGTCCTTACTGGATGCGTTATGAGGTTCTGGGGTCATCCTGGCTTGCAGACTGCCCCTTGTTTTCATTGGATACTTGGGACTCATTCTGTCGGACCTGCACGTTTGAGTGGTGCAAGGCGTTGACGGTGGTCCAGGTTTACCTGTGGGGCGATTTTCAGCATCTTAATGAGTCTTTTCGCTCCTGCTCTTTTGTGGGATGTTGGTGCGGTGCAGCTCCATGTGCAAGTTCCTTCCCTGTCGGTTGCTCTTTTGGCTAAGGACTTGCGCGCTCGTGGCTTTTTGGCTTCGGTCCTTCGTTTCTTTTCCC